CGATTTTATGAATAATTTAAAATAAAAAAAATCATTAAAAAATATTTAAATCAATAATTAAGTTATTTTTACTTAATATATATATATATATATCATAAATCTCGATTAATCCCGTTAAATATTTTTATTTATAGATATAAAAATATATTTAAATTGAACCAGGTTAGATAGCTAAAAAAAAAACCAATTAATTTAAAACTTTTAACTAATAATTTATATATATATATATATCATAAATCTCCATTAATTTTTAATATCGATATTAAATATTTTTATTTATAAATATTATGACATATTTAAATCAAGTCATGTTAAATGCTAAAAATATATATAGTTTAGTCTCTTCAATTAATTAAAATTTTTTAATTAATAATATATATATATATCGATTAATCCGTAATATCGATGTTAAATATTTTTATTTATAAATATAACTATTTAAGTTATGTTAGCTAAAATATATATATAGTTGTGTTTGACAATGTTTTCTTCTATTTTTATTAGGTTTTTCAATTATTTGATTTTTAGTCCAATTTTAAAAATAAATAATAAAATTTATAAAATTGTTTTTATTAATTTTGAAAATTTTTGAATTTTTTCAAAAATAAAAATTTATTAAAATAAGTTGCATTTATAAGCTTAAATTTAAAAGATTAAAATTAAAAAGAAACTATAAAATTGGTTATTTAACGTATAATAAATTAATTATTAAAAATATTGGGATTTTATAATTAAAAATGATTGGGCATACAAAATCCGGAAGTTTCGAGAAGGGTATATAAGAGTGAGCTGGAGATCGAGCTCCAAAAATGGTGAAATTGCAGAAGCGATTGGATGGCGGGACTTTCCTTAGCTTTATCTCTTTGCTTAATTTTCCTTCCTGCGATATCTGAAGCATCCCGTTGCTCGATCATTGGTATGCACTTTTCTTCTTCCACCACCAGATTTTAGTTTCTCCTGCGCCGTTTCGCACTTTTTGCTTCGATGTTTTGCTGGTCTGTGCTTCGTAAACTCCGAAGAAGTTGAGTTTTATCATATGCAATGCTCTTGATATTACATGTTTTTTGTTTGCTCCCTTTGGTTTCCATTTGAGTAGCTTTTGAAGCCCTTTTGGATCATTAGAGACATTTTTTGATGTAACTAGGCGGCAATCAGATCAATACCTTCCTTTCGAGTTTCTCATCGAATTTTCGCGGATTTTGATGGCTTCCACCGGCATTTTGGACGACGATTAACTCAGCTCCCAAAAACGACGGAATGAGAGCCGTCCAATCATTGATAATAATCGAGAGATTGTAATTACAAAGAATTTTTGTGTAAAATTATCCATCTAAGCGCTGTGGTTTGTGCAAGACTACTCACATATAAAAACGTATAGGCCTAAAGGATCTTGCACTTCTTTCTTTCCATTTATGCCACCAAAGAGCTCTAAAGGCACAGCTCCCTACGACCTTGGTTTTCCCCATCAGATTCCACGCATAAGCCAATCTTCCACTCTTCTAGGAAGAAAAGTAGAAACTCCCAGATTTCCAAACAAGTAATTCTCTGAAACTGAAGACATTGTCTTGAATAATGGTATCCATAAAATTGGGCTTCAGATTTTACACAATACCTTCATTGGGTTAATATGCCTTTATGCTTGTGTTTTAAGACTAGAAATATGGTGGTTTTTGGTTTTAGGGTATTTGAGTATTGAACATGTATTGTCATGATAACATTCAGGACAAAGCGCTACAAATTTACTACCGAACTAATGGATGTTCTGCTCTGTTTTGAGTCTTCGAATTGTTGTATTTAAGCTTACCTATGTGACTTCGGACCTAAGTGTTTTGATGTGTACTTGTGATGGGGATGGTCTGAAAGTTGAACTTTATGTACCTGACTGACTTCCGTATGGTAGCTAACATTTTTTGTTGTTTCTACATGCATCTAAATTTTTTCATGGATCCAGGGTTGCCTCTAGTAAGAAATATCAGTGAGCTTCCACAAGATAACTATGGAAGGGGAGGCTTGTCTCACATTACCGTTGCAGGTTCACTATTGCATGGGCTGAAGGAGGTATGGCGTGTTCATCCTTCGAGGTTCTAGAACCTAGCCAAGCTTTGTAATGAAACAAAAGATATTTTTTATTGGCTTGTGCTAGCCATTTACCACTTTACTGAATTTTGCAGGTGGAGGTGTGGCTCCAAACATTTTCCCCTGGATCACACACACCTATTCACAGGCACTCGTGTGAAGAAGTTTTTCTGGTTTTGAAGGGGACTGGCACTCTCTTTCTCGCACCTAGTTCTCATGGAAAGTACCCTGGAACACCAAAAGAATTTTCTATCTATTCAAACTGTACATTTCACATACCTGTTAATGATGCTCACCAGGTACGTTGTTCTACTTAAATCCCTTCCTTGCTTTAGAAGTATCCATAAATATTGTGGGCTTAGTTGATATACATCATTTCTGATTGCTTACAACTTAGGTTATTAAACCCAATAATTTCGTTTGAGGTAGACTATGAAAATAACCCAAGTCTCAAATGTCTAGTCTTGCTATCCTTAGAATTTTTGTTGCCATGCAACGAGTATTGGAAAGCTTATGGAAGCCTTCTTTTTTAAAGATGGCGAGGGTGAGTGGTTCGAAAAAATTGGAAGTTCAATGGATCTAAAGAAAATAAATCAAGCTAGGATGAATGAGACTTTACTTTGCCAATTGAAAAATTTTCTATGGCCTAAGCAAAACATTCAAAATGAGAGAAATAGCACAAATTACTCAGCTGTCAAATAAAAGCTAGGGTAAGTGCTAAAATAACCTCACTTCATAGGATTTTCAGTAGTCAACAGAAAACTACTGGTTCATTGAATCTTTTATGATATATAATTTTTTTATGAGGGTCGGGAGTGTATTTGCTCTTGCAAATGAATTTTGGTATTTTCCCCCAAGGAGCATCTTGAATTAGGGATAGGGAGGAAAGAAGGGCGTAGTTTCTTGATTTCTAAACCTCCTTCTCATGTGAATCTTGCTTGAATGTTCTTGGTTATCTGTCCTTTTAAACTGCCATTTTGCTAATTGGGAATTTGGAAGGTGAAACTACCAAAAAAGTTCAATGTTTCTGCTCAGTTTGTGGTTAATGAGATTGATTGTTCTTTGGGTCTTAAACGGGGATTTGTGTCTACATGTTTTTTGATGAAAAATTAAAACAAGGCAAAAACCTTCAAAATCCTTCAAACTTCTTCATTGCATGATTTTCCAGTGAAATGAGAATGCTTGCTTTCCATCCCACCCCATGGAAGAAAGGAAACACAATCAGGCTTAGGCCTAGAGATATATGCATATGCGAACTGAGGACGGGTTTTTGGAGTTAGCTACCCTCTTATACTGTCTTTGAGGAGTTGAGGCCTGACCTCCTCCTCCCTTTGTTTTATGGGATAATGAAGTTCACTGTTTACTGTATATATATATAATATATATATATATATATATATATATATATATATATATATATACATATATATGGTTATACGTTCCTGTTCTTTTAGTGGATCAAAGAATCATGATATCTGGCTTTCAGATGAAACCTTTCTCCAGTGACTTTCTACATTGATCTGTGAAATGTGGACCGATGTGCATGGTATCATCAGTTTAAGCCCCTGATCATGCTTGCAATGTTTTTTTTTTTTCAAACTATATTTTCAGTTTATCAAATACACCACAATGTTCAAACAATTCTCAACTCAAACCAAGCCTCTGATATCACTTGAATGGTTAACCATTAATACAGATATGGAATACGAATGAACATGAGGATTTGCAGATGCTTGTCATCATTTCCAGGCCACCAGCCAAAGTGTGCGTATTTTTCTTCCATTTTACATTATGTATTTCATCATTATTTGTTTTTATAACTTGAGCTGAACGAATTATTACATTTGCATGAAGAAGCTCATTATGGTACTTAGGAGTAATTTGAAGGTGAGACTCATGAACAACCAAGATCTTTTGGTTTATGGTTGCAGGTTTATTTATGAGGACTGGGCCATGCCCCATACTGCTGCAAGATTGAAGTTCCCCTACTATTGGGATGAACAGTGTTTTGAAGCACCCGTAAAGGATGAACTTTGACGTTGTTTCTCGATCAAATTGACCGTTAACATGAAGTGTAAAGTCGAATTCTCATAAAAACATGAAGTGTTATAAACTTTAAACAAGGTGCAACATCTTGAAAGTTCTTCAAGCTTGTATCACTCACTTTTGCTTCAAAAATCCATTCCAAATGGATAGAGCCTCGTTGAGGTGTGAAAGCCTATAGTTTCTTCTATAATTTCGGTTTGAAATCATTGAGGGCCGTAGGCATCGGTTTGATAATAACTTCATTTTTAGTTTTTATTTTAAACAATTTAGTAATTTATCTTAGCTCAAACTGATAAGTATAAATATTATTCACGAGCACAACTCATTACGCATCATTTTCAGTTTTTGTTTTAAACAATTTAGTAGTTTATCTATTGAGCTATGTTCAAACTGATAAGTATAAATATTATTCATGAGCACAACTCATTACGCACAAACACGGACATGTAGCTCAAATATTCAACTAATTAGTTAACCACAAATTCCTTTTTATTGCATATAATATATATATAAAATGTAACTATAAATTTCTTTTTAATGCAGATGTATTTTCCTTCTTACGCATATTAGACATTATACAATTAATAAACACCTAGACCACTCCTAGATCTTTTAACATTATACCCTTTAGTAACATTTTTTTACAAAAGATTATAATATCAAGCATAATATAAGAGTTAAATTGCGTGGATTATTATGAACATAGATATATATATATAGATAGATATATGGATATATATGGATATATGGAATGCTTCAAACAATTCACAATCCTTCTTGAAGCACAAGAATAGCAAAAGAGAAAGGTAAGTGTAAATAGCAAAAATAGAATGAATCAAGAAAAAAGTGGATAAAGGGAAGAGAAAAGAACTCGTTAGGATCAAACAAATCATCTAAAAGTGTTTTTCTTGCTTTGAAATCCCAGTACAAACAATCAGCAAGACTATGCATCATCTAAAACCAAACTTTACTAAGTAAAAAGGGACCCCATGGATCAAACAATATCCCCTCCCGAATATCTTCATTTATGTTTGTCAAAAATTAGAAGAAGAAAAGGATGGGTAGAGAAAGATGAAGTAGTCGAGTGTTTTTGAGGAACAAAAGAATCTAAAAATTGGCTAGATCCCCTGGTTCTAACTCCAAGAAATGTGGAAAGGAAATGGAAGCTGAAAAAGGAAAAAGAAAATGGATGTAGCTCCATGAGAGAAAGGAGTAATGATAATCCCAACCCACCATGAGCATGCCCAGAAATAGGCATTGTGCTCCTAAGAATTTTCCCTTCCTCAGAATCCCACCAACCTTGTTCCTCCTCAACTTTTATCCCTTATCATCAATCGTTCCTAATTCTTCCTTCCCAATCCTTCTCCCAAACCAGCCTAACAATGGCTGCCATCACTCTGTTTCTCTCACTTCTTTGATCAATCATCTCCTCTTTCTCCATTGTTCCAATTTCCAACACTCCAATTTACAGGGCAGGAATGGCCTTCCACAACAACCATCTCCATTTCTCCATCTCTCTCCTCGGCCTCCTCCTGTCTTTCCTCCTCATCCTACTCCCAGCCACCGCCACCGCCACCGCCGGAATCCGCCTAGGGATCATCCGCAAGCCTTCCTCCGACGTCCCTATCTTCCGCGAAGCTCCGGCGTTTCGGAATGGCGATTCCTGTAAAAGAGATGAGAAGATTCACGTGGCTATGACTCTGGATTCGAATTACCTGAGAGGAACAATGGCGGCCGTTCTGTCGATTCTTCAGCACTCGACTTGCCCTGAGAACGTGGAATTTCACTTCCTGTGGGCGAGATTCGACTCCGAGGTGTTCTCGTGCATCAAAACCACGTTTCCGTACCTCAATTTTAAGGTTTATCGATTCGATTCCGGTAGGGTTCGGGGGAAAATTTCGAAATCCATTCGACAAGCTTTGGATCAGCCATTGAACTACGCGAGAATTTACTTGGCGGAGATTCTGCCGGTGGAGGTTAAGAGAGTCATATATTTGGATTCCGATTTGGTCGTTGTTGACGACGTTGCAGAGCTTTGGGGAGTGGATTTGGGCGATAAGGTATCAAATCAAAACCTTCAATTTCAGATCATCAAACCCTAAACTCCGTATTTATACATTTCTCTCTCTCTCTCTCTTTTTCTTTTGTGTTTTTGGGTTTTTATAATTTTCTTTTTGGGTTTTTCCAAACCGGAGTTTCAAAATATTTTGGAGAAGTGAAAAGTCTAAAATACCCCTAGGAACTACCTATAAAATCAATAAAATATTTTTTTCTTTTTAATTTTTTAACTTTTAAAAACTTTTTTTTTGTCCAATATATTTGAATCCACATTTAATTTGGAGTAGAAAATATTTTTGAGAAGTAAAATGTCTAAAATACCCTAAGGAACTTCTGGATGGAATTTCAACCTATGAAATTAATAAAATATTTTTTCTTTTTAATTTTGAACTTTTAAAAACTTTTTTATTTAATTTCGAAAATATTTTGGAGAAGGTGAAAAGTCTAAAATACCCCTAAGAAAACAATAAAAATTATTATTTCATATAAACGCAGGTATTAGCAGCACCGGAGTACTGCCACGCAAACTTCACAAAGTACTTCACCGACCAATTCTGGTCGGACCGGAAGCTGTCAGAGACGTTCAGCACGCGGCAGCCCTGCTACTTCAACACCGGCGTCATGGTCGTCGACATCAAAAAGTGGAGGTCCGGTAAGTTCACCCAGAAAATGGAGGACTGGATGGCAGTCCAGAAGCAGCGCCGTATCTACCACCTTGGTTCTCTCCCGCCCTTCCTCCTCGTCCTCGCCGGCGACATCCGCGCCGTCGACCACCGCTGGAACCAGCACGGCCTCGGCGGCGACAACCTCGAAGGCAAATGCCGCAGCCTCCACCCTGGTCCAATCAGCCTCCTCCACTGGAGCGGCAAGGGTAAACCCTGGCTAAGGCTAGATTCCAGGAGGCCCTGTACCGTCGATCATCTTTGGGCCCCGTACGATCTCTACCGTCCGTCCACTCATGCCTTGGAAGAGTGAATAGAGAACCGAACCAAACCGAACCGAACCGAGAAAAACCTTTTTTTTTCTAATATGGTTGGATTTGGGGGAAATTGGCCAAGTGTTTTTTTTTTGGTTTTTTTTTTCTTTTTTTGGGTTTGGTATTTTGAAAATCTCTCTTTTTTTTTTTTTTTTTTTTTTTTTTTAAGAATCAAAAGAAAGGTAAAAGGAGAGAGAGAGAAGGAAGAAGGAAGAGAAGGTGAAGATTTGCATAGGAATTTAGCAAACTTTTTCCATTTTTCATTTATTCTCAACTTTGTTCTTCCTTCCTTCAAATTTTATATTATGTTAAACCCATTTGATGTATATATATATAAATATATATATTTTTTACATTTCCACTTCCATATATTTATTTTTATTTCCGCTTTTGCTCGGTATCGTAAAACGTTATGATTGTTTCTTACGACGAAATTAGCGTTCTAATTCTTCTTCTTAAGACTTAACGAACAAAATAATGCTAAAATCAGACTATCTGCATCATTGAAATTTAGAACAATCGCCTTATTTTGAAATTGATCAAAATATCTTCAGGTGTTTAGCCCGTAACATTGTTTTAGAGTTGTTTCAACATTTTATTATATTCTATACGCTTACCTCTATTTTCATGTAAAAGGCGAAAACGTGTCATGAAACAACGAGGTTTAACGGCTATGACCCACTGCTATATCCTTGCCACTAGTTGAAAATAGTGTCGATTCATCCATACTCTCGAACAAAATCAAATATTTTTTAGTTTTGAATAGAAACCGTCTGTTAAAAAAGAAAAATCCTTTTAAGAAAAATAAAAATAAAAAAATACTCGAGAAATTTTAAAATTAAATTATTTTGAAGTGTAAAAATATTTTCAATAAAAACCCCTAAAGAGTGGAAAAGCCAAACCATATAATATAAAAGCCCTAAATTGGAAATTTCCATGAGAAATAACTGAACTTTGAAATGGGATTGGGATTGGGATTGGGATTGGGATTTCGAGCTTTGTTGATTATGGTGTGGCCTTACGTTCATCCAGATAGAGACTTCCCACCATCCTGACGAACACGAACACTGCGTCTCTTCCAAACTTCGTTTTTCTTTGATCGATCTTGCTTAATTTCGTCGTTGTTTCGAATCTGTCAAATGAATTTCTTCAGATCGGTGTTTTCCGACCATCCCGATCCTTCGACAGTGTCCGAATCTGAACCTCAATCGCCTGAAAAGTCCTTGTTGAAAGAAGGAGAAGGAACATCGGATTCGAGTCCCCATCCGAAGTTAAGTCCTGTCGCGGCTGCCGAAGCTTGGAGTTTCGGTGGTCTGATCCAGACTTTGAGCGCTAAATCGGAATCGGTTATCGATACCTACCGGCGCGATCTCCAGGAATTTGGTTCGGGATTGAAGAAGGAAATTGAGGTCGCTCAAGGATCGCTGGAGACGGTAGGGCACGCCTTCGATGAATTCGGTAGCTCCGTTTTGAAAGGTACGGCTCAGATTATCGCGCAAGGTAAGGACGCGATCCTCGCTATAGATCAGGAATCTGATTCTGATAATGGTAGTAACCAAAATATGAGTAATCAAAGAAGCCCGTGTTCCAAGCCCTACAGTAGGTTCGATTCTCAGGTTCGTTTGCTTCAAGGCGATACGGCCACTTACTGTGAGGAACCTGAAGATGTTGGTGATTATGATCAGTGGAGATCGCAATTTGTGCTGAATGATCGGAGTGAAGAAATTGAAAACTTGATGGAAGAAAATGGTGGAATAGATAATATACACAAGAAGGTTGTTCCTAATGTTGTTGATGATGAAACTTTCTGGTGTAGGTATTTTTATAAAGCGCATAAGCTTAAGCAAGCTGAGGATGTTAGGGCAAATCTTGTGAAGAGAGCTATTGCAAGGGAAGAAGAGGAGGATTTGAGTTGGGATGTGGATGACGACGACGACGGTGAGGGATACAATGAGATCAATGTCGGGTCGAAAGGGGATTCGGTGAAGAATGAGGTGAGTAATGAAGTTTGGGGTAAAGCTACAAAGAGCGAAGAACGCAACGTCGATGAGGAAGTGAAAGAGGAGCATGCTGCCAATACTGAAGTTGTGAAGAAGGAAGTTCCTGTTGATGAATTGAACGGAGGAAGCTCTGTTGACGACGACGACGACGGGAAGGGGGAGAAGAGTTCTCACAAAGTCCATTTGGAAGGTGGCTCTGGGCTGAATAACAAAGATCAAGGATTGAAATCAGACATGAAGGTGGCAGTAGAGGCCAAGTCTGAACATGGCGAATCTTCGAAAGACAGTGATGTTTCAATTGTTTCGACACAGCCTTCTATGCCCGAGGACGAAGATCTCGGGTGGGATGAGATTGAGGATCTGAGCATTATTGAGGAAAAGAAAGTAGCAACTCAGGGTGGGATAGCAAATCGAGAGGAAATGCGAAAACGGCTGAGTACTGCTGAAGACGACGAAGATTTGGACTGGGGTACCGATACCGAATGACGAAACTCCTGAAACTCCTAAAGCTCGGTAGATCAAATCTATGAAAGGTTATTAAACTGATTTCCTATGTTATATTTCATTTTTTTCAAAGTGTTATACTTTTATCTGTTGAATGCAATGCCCTGTGATGGTATGTCTTAAACTATCTTGGAAGGAATCGAATATAATCAAGCATGCTAGAAAATACCATAGGTTGATTACGGTTTCAAGCACTCCCATCAAGAACTGGTGATGAATTTGAATCAAGAATTGCCAGTAGGAAATAGTTAAGTTTAACCTCTAGAATAGAAGGAAAAGGAAGGATTTAAATACAATTAGTAAATACAAAATTCGAACCTAAATCCTCTAGTTCACTCTTCAAACTTGAACCTCAACTTCATCTAAAAGAAAGAAAAGAACCCTAAGAACTTGGAAACCAAATAAATAAGCGGTTCGTGGTGTTCGGGGAGGGGGTGGAATTAATAGGAAAAAACTCACTCAGATCCATCAGTGAAAGGACAAGAACGCTACTTAGTAGAGTCGTGTTGCTTCGACTTCAGAACTGCTCTGATTTCAGACTCAAACACTTATGCCTGGTTGTTCGTAAGATGAGTCTGGTCGACGAGTTTCGACAGGGGAAGGTAATGCAAGGAACCGCCCTTTTCTAGCGCGAGGAGGAAGATGTTTTGCTGGTTTTCTTGAATTGACAGCCCATGGTAAGAACACTCCAGTGCCATCACGTTGAGATCTTCCAGGGCTCATCACCATAGGGCGCACAGGAGCTAACATGACCACCGGTGCATGAAGGATCCCCCATTTTGGCATTACCTCCATTGCTTCATAGCCGTAGGTGGCTCCATTAGGCAAGGTGCATGTGCCAGCAACACCCGGTTGCCATAGAGTTACAGCGTTCGACATCTGCTGAGGGGTTGGTGATTGGCATTGATCGTAGTCTGGCCGAACTCGGAAGAACGTGATGGTGACCCTTTTGTTAGGAGATGCACATATGACATGGCGCGCAACATCTGCACTGTTCCCCCTCATGACCAAAAGGGATCTGCAAAATTACATGCTTGTATTAATGGTTTAGAATCGTCGTCACGCTTCGAATACGTACAAGAAACCATAACAAAAGCTAGATTTGATTGATTAGAACAACAGAGTTTAAAGGGGCATACCCTTCCTTCAAGGACAGCATGAGCGGCCCCTTATAGTTGCCTTCGTTATCACTAACAATAGAACGCCCGAAAGCCATAGTTGATTCAGAAAGGAAGAGAGTGGAAATGGGTTGTTCCAAGTGTGGAGGTTTCTGGAATGGCTGTGAATACTCGCCCTACAGCACAAGCCATATTTTCAGTCATTATCAAAGAAATCAAACGTGGTTTAGAAATAGAATACGATAATAATACCTCTTCAAAGAAATTGACGAGACATCCATTTGGTCTTTTGTACTCCGGAATGAGCTGCCACTGAATGAGATGATCGATAACCGTCGCAAGAAGAGGTGGAATCGGTTCTATGTTACCTGTAAGCATGGACAATATTAGTAGTATTAAACAATGTTCAGATCGACGTGTTGCTAGTACTTTTACGTATTAAACTAAACTATGTTCAGATCGGCATTCTTATAAAAGTGGCCTACACCTACATCGATTTCAACGACCTCAAAAATTGGATGGTTAAAATATCATTACTTGTTCGGTTGTTATTGGCGGAGTCATCTCTGATCTGTCCAAAAATGGGGACGCCAAGCTGGATCATCTCTCGCCGGTTGCCTTTCACCTGCTGATTGAATAAAACAAATGTCTCTCCTGCACACGTAAAGAAAATTCAATTCAGATTCTAAACTAAGCTGAAGAAAACTATGGAGAAAGGCCTTCAAACCAGTGATACACTGTTGTTGACATCAATGTTTTTCATTAAGATGTTCATCAAATTGGGTACAGAGAGTTGCAGGAAGGGTCTTGATTGTCCCTATCAGAATGGTTTTCAAGAAGTCTGATAGAAAATAGTAACTGTTAAAGCTATTAAGAGAGAGTTAATGCTAACCAGAGAGCTCCCCATTCTTTGCAGCAGAGCGAAGATCATCAACAAAGTCATTCAACTTCACCAATTCAGACTCTGTGAAAATGTCTTCATAACATTTCAATCCTTTCACAACATTCACCTGTCACCAAATGTTACAAAAAATTAATGATACTAATAATACTAAACTTTTCTAAATTTTCAAGAGGAAGAGTACGAGCACCATTCTTCTGTTAGGAATCACGACTCTCCACAATGGTATGATATTTTCCACTTTGAGCATAAGCTCTCATGGCTTTGCTTTGGGCTTTCCCAAAAAGCCTCGTACCAATGAAGATGTATTTCTTACCTGTCAACCCAGGATCATTTCGAAATTAGCCCACGTGGGATTTACTTCCAACAATCCTCCCCTTAATTGAAGCTTGACTCCTTTCTCTGGAGCACTCGAACAAAGTACACCATTTGTTCTACACTTTAGTCACTTTTTGACTACACCTTCGAAGCTCACAATCTTTGTTTAATATTTGAGGATTCTATTGTCATGACTAAGTTTACGGCATCGCTTTAATACCATGTTAGGAATCACGACTCTCCACAATGGTATGATATTGTCCACTTTGAGCATAAGCTCTCATGGCTTTGCTCTCGATTTTTTCGAGAATGCCTCGTACTAATGAAGATGTATTCCTTATATAGAAACTCATGCTCATTTCCTAAATTAGCCCATGTGGGATTCACTCCCAACAATCCTCCCCTCGAACAAATACACTACTATGGAGCCCTCGAACAACCTCCCCTTAATTGAAGCTCGACTCCTTTCTCTGGAGCACTCGAACAAAGTACACCCTTTGTTCTACACTTTAGTCACTTTTTTACTACACCTTCGAGGCTCACAATCTTTGTTCAATATTTGAGGATTTTATTGTCATGACTAAGTTTACGGCATCTCTTTAATACCATGTTAGGAATTACGACTCTCCACAATGGTATGATATTGTCCACTTTGAGCATAAGCTCTCGCTCTCATGGCTTTGCTCTGGGTTTTTCCCAGAATGCCTCATACCAATGAAGATGTATTCCTTATATAGAAACTCATGATCCTTTCTTAAATTAGCCGGCGTGTGACTCACTCCCAACAATCCTAACATCGACTCACTCCCAACAATCCTAACATCTTCAAAATTCGTTTCATTTCAAAATTAAAAATGAAGAGACCAAAAAAGAAAAAGTTTCAGTACTAAAAAAACGTCGTAACCGGCAACTCCACACCATTCTTCAATGCTAGTTTAAATTAAAAAATGAATGATTATATTTGAATTTGGGAAAAGAAAGAGCTCACCATATGGCCCTTCACTGGCTCCTTAGCAGAGAATCCTTTTGTCAACTTCATCAGCCCCGGACGTGCTTCACACTCTCCATGGTTGCTGCATATCTCAACTTCTGCAGAGCTGGCCTGCACTCCTCCTCCTCCCCCTTGAGATCCTGCCAAAGAACACAATAAATTACTCAACAGTTAACTAAACAAATGCATTTAATGAAATGCCCAATTTAAAATAATGGTTTTAAATTTAGTCAACTCATTGTCCGTGACAAATTTTATGCTATAACCTCTGAATTTCATAACCGTATTGAAAAATAAAATAATACATATCAAGAACCATGCTCAATAATGAAATTATTATTAAATTTGTCGCGAAAGGAATTTATTTTATTTTATTGGGGAAAGGGTTTTTGGGTAGAATATTGGACGGCTGAGATTGAAAGATGAGTATTGATCTCCATTAAACTAAGAGCTCCATCTCGAGGCGTTGCGTAGCTGTCAGTGTTCGTCATTCCAGGACTAACCGTAGAATCTTGTAACGTCTTTAACTTTTTCTGCTCACCTCGAAAATCTCAAACCCCCGGCCTAAACCTCCGGAAGATATTCGATTGGCGCTAGAAATTTATTTGTTGATTAGGATGAACAACGTAAGGATTTTGATTTTCGAGTAACTTTTTGGATGAATTTGAAGAAAGTTACTGGAAAAGAAAGAAAAAAGGGAATCCCTAAACTCAATGAATTTGACGAAACAGAGTTTCTGTAGAAGATTAAATCACGGATCTGACTCTGAAATTTTTTGTTTCTGTTTGAATCTTGTGAATGTTGAAAAGAATTCTTTTCGCTGGAACAGTCGATTTGTGGACTTTTGAGAATTTTTTCGATTGTGCGCTGTTCATGAACGCAGAGATTGAAATTTTTTGAGAAATTTTGGAGAATCGATCAGAACTTTTTGGATCAACAGAAATCAAGAACTGAAAAATGGATTAAGGATTTTGATTGATTGAGAATACTTACCTGAATCGGTTATCTCGCTTCCGATTGAATCCTCCTCTTCAATTGGAGCCAAATCCTCATTTCTTCCGCCTTCAGTTTCGTTGATCTCAATCGACATCTCTTCGATCTTCACTTTCTCATTATTCGCTTCCTCTTCGACAAATTCCTCATCCGAACTCATCTTACCTCCATTTTCATCTGCTTCACTCGTCTTCTTCGCCTCCATTTCAACATCGCCGTCGTCCTCGGCCACTTCCGCCGCCTCCTCCTCCTCCTCCTCCTCCTGATTCTGCTTCTTCTTCTTCTTCTTCTTCTCCGCCGTCACCTTCCGGAGCTCCACCGCGACGTCGCCGATCGGATGATACTTCTGCATTTGCAGGACCGGGATCCAATTCAGCCGTCGTCTATGAATCGCACCGAACACTGCTTCGTACTCCAATCCTCCAATGTCACTCACCTGCGCCAGATGTCCACACAGCGCATCGATTATCGCGTTCGCCGCCGCAAACTCCCCTCTGAACCACCCTAACACCGCGTCCTTCGCTAATGTATCCGTCACCGCCGCCGCCGCCGCTGGCGGCATCATCACCGGCCGCGCTCGATCAGTTGCCCCCGCCGCCATCGGCATCCACCAAAACCAATTCCAATCCAAAATACTAAAATCACAAATTCAAAATCCTCTTCCTGATTCCGGATTCACCGAAATCTCGGAATGAATCGTTAAACTCCTTAATTCAACAGACTTCGAATCAACGCAATTATATATAAATAAAAGTAAATATCAAAATTTATGTGCAAAAGTGTAAAATAGAGCGTTTTGGCAGAGAAATAAGGGAGAG